CGGGACGACGCACAGCCGACATGTGCAGTGCGTCCCTAACAATTTCTTCTTTCAGGCTTGAGGTTTCAACATTGGAGACGGACTCGGTTTCAAGTCAGTGACTTTGCTGGTGTCATACATGGACCACCGCAAGGGAGGCTAGGGCTAGGCTGCAGATCGATCCAAAAATGGCCGAGCAGTCAACGCCCGTGCTGCTTCTGGAAGCCGGCTGCAGTCTGTCACAAAGCGTAAGACACGTCAGCCCTGCCTTGCCCGAGACGGTGCACTTCACGTATGGATCGGATGTGCCCGTGAACCAATCCTCGTGGAACTCACATGGGGGCCTGCATCAGATACCCTATCGCCTGGCCGTGCCCTCCCACTCCTAAGAAAGAGCGGCGCCAAAACCCAGTGATTTGGCGCCACCCGGCCGAAGAAGAAAGCATCCTTTCCTTCCGAGCCACTGCATCACGAAGTCCCTTGGCCCCTTGCACCGTAACTTCCACAGTGTAGTCCTGGCAGTGTGGCGAAGCTTCCATAGGCCAGCCCTGCAGAAGCCATAAGAAGCGCTCAAAGCCTCCTTCGGCTTCGCAGGTTCCGCCACCTGCGAAGGACTAGTGACTAGTGGGCTTGGACTCACTCTCCGGCTTCAGCTCTCGAGACGCATGGCGGAGGTGTGGAAAGTTGTTTGCGATGCTTTCGGCGGACCCCGTCCCAACAAACGCATCCAGAGCAAGATGCAAACCCCCCCTCAAACCAACAGCATTCCGATCCCGGAAATCCTCGACAAACCCCCGAAGCTTCGGAAAGCCCTCAAGGAATCTCGAAACATTTGAGTCTGGCTGCCTTGGCTTTCGCCTTTGGCTTGGGGGTGGGTCCCTGCCGGAGGGCGGGACCTGCCGCAGGCGCTAGGCCTGCCAGGGCTTTTGGCATGAAGGCTGTTACAATTTTACCAATTACCAGTTCTCGTTCTTGTCATCCTTGTGACCTTGTGGTTCCTAAGTGCACCCTGACACCCGTCTACGTTACTCGTTCATGTGGCTGGTATTCGATTGATGCATAAGACTTGGGACGGCGAAGGTGATCCGCAAGTAGGATGCGAACCGCACAGCCAGCCACTCTCTGAGTACACCGGGGCCCAAAACTTCCTGCAAGTGTCTCTCTTGCAGAAGCATGCTTCGGCTTCACGGAAGCATGCTTCGGTATCACAGAAGCAACAGGTCAAAGGCCCAACAACAAAAACAATGAATCTCTGTGGCGGGAGACCCCAAATTCAGGATCATTGAATCGAGGTGCTGAATCTCCTTGCTTTTGCGACACCACTTGCCAGCAGAGATGTCCTCACCGGACAGGAGTCAAGATGCCCCCACTGGCGCACTGGCAGTCTGCCAAGCCGAGCCACCGCTTTCGATACTCCAGCTCCTGCAGCTCAGGAGGGAGGGAAGGAAACGAGCAAACCTCTGAAACGGCCTCGTCGAGCTCGACTACGAGAGGCACCCCAGGATGGATTTCGTATTCAAGCGCCTCAAACACTGCAGTGCAAAGGAAACGGGAAAGCTCTGCAACCAGAGTTTGTCAGCACCGGGCCTCTGCGTCTGTGTCATCCTCCAGTCCCTGACAGATGGCCTCGGGGAGGTGTCCGACGGTGTGCGGCTCCACCATTGAAAAGGCATTGGTACTGGGCTGTTGCTGCCAAGGTGCTCTAACGGACCCTTCATGCGCCACCACCAGCGGCGTCTTGCCACTAAGCAGAAAGGGCGCGATGGCGTCCTTGGACCGATTGCAGGAAAACCAACAACACTGTTCAGCATCCATATTAAAAGCCACGGATCGTGCCAAAATGGACGGGTTCGGTCAACAACCATCCTGCCAGAAGCTCCGATTATCTCCGATTCATCAACCGCGTGCACTGGATGTGGTATGGCCTCTGGCCTGCACGACTGTAGCCGATTATAGCCCGTACGCCCATAAGTCAACGAGCACAGTCCCAAATTAATATGCACGCAAGAGGCTTCATCGACTCGGAGCCGGGTCGTGCACTGGAGGGCACACCCCTGAGCCAGTTCTGGCATGGCCAGTGCTTTGTATGTTGCAACCACCACAACGACGCGGGAGAGATGGTCCCCAAAAAGGCCTGTACAAGGGATCGTTGGAGGGATGCGCGGCATCCGAGATGGCCACTGCCGGAGGAGCGGCCTGCATCATAGCGCGTCAGGAACATGTCATGTCTGCACACACAGCCACTCACATGAACACCCCTTGTGCAAACGTGAGTTTGCGTACAAAGTGCACGCATGCGTTCCATTTGCATCACCTATGAGTACATCTCAATGTGCAACAGTGTTTTGTCTCAATCCGTGTTTCTCATAGTATATGATCAGTATATGTCTATGTGGTTTGTTGCTTTTGTTCCTTGCGACGCGGACGTGAGTGGAAAGGAGGATTCAGGAACCGTTTGGGATGCTCCGACTGTGAGCTTCCCGGCTCTGAGAATCTCCGGATCGGAGCCACGAAAACCCGGACAGTTCAGGTGATCTGATGAAGCAAAACAGGTGCATGTAGGCCTTCGCGGCCCCACCTACAACTTAAGTATATCTGCACCCTCCTTACGATGCTGTCCTCTGCCACGCCTCCTTGGGATCCTCTTCCGCTGAAGGCTTGGCCTTGCCCTGGTACACTCCCCAGTGGCGATCGTTCAGTCGGAAGTTCTGGATATGCCTTGCATGGAAGCCCTGCTAGCATGCCGAGATATGTCGCACTCACTAACAGCATTGGCTCTCCTAGCAACCGAAGCCACCCCATAATGCGAATCTAGCAGATCAAGTTTTGTTCGCAAGCAGCACAGGCAACGTATGGTACGTTAACCAGGTTACCACGCAAACACGAGAGAGTGCTGTTTCCGCACCAGTCGAAAAGAATAGGCATCCTGGCTGTTGCAGTTAAGCTTCGGCAAGGCCACGCGATCGCTTTGCATTAGCGCTAGCCATCCAGTGCAAATGGCCTCCGCAAAATTACGTGATCCACACAGCGTTGGCCGGAGCGTCACTGCAGTGCAGAGGAGGCCTGTTTCTGAACCGAAGTGAAGAGCGCATCGAAGCTGAAGCCGGCATCCGTCCTTGCTACAACTTTCGAGTCTGAAGCTGCAGCAAGACCTTGGCCGACTCAATACTTGAGACAAGTTTCAGGAGCTTGCCGGCCTGGTGACAAGACGAAACGAAGTGCAAGGGCCACGCACCATCGTAGCGGCCTAGAGTCCCTGTCGGGGCCGGCGCCTGCTCGGCCTGCTCCTTCCCTCTGGCGCTCAGCCCATCTTGGGCCCAGCCGGTGCAGATGCCCTGACCGGCTGCGCTCCCGACGCGCGCACTCGTTGCCGATATTTTCCGACTCTCCTGTGGCCCAAGTGCCGTGCCTTTGCTTGCAGCTCTGTTTCTGCACAGGGCAGCAAGACCTGAGAAACTAGCCAAAATTCGGAGAGATGTAGGAAAGGTCGAACTACAAAAGGTAATTGCAATGTTCCGGCAACAATCGGTCCAAAACACGCATGCCGACAGACCCCCCTGCCATGCCTTGCATAACCTTGCGTTCAAGCGGCGATCTTCCTTACTGCCATAGCCACTTTCGGACCAAATAGGAGATGCTATAACTCTGAGCCAAAATGGCACAGCCAAACACCGGCGAAAGAAGTAAACGCATTCGGAAGCAAGAAGCAACCTGCACTATAGCTTGCTTTGATGTAACATCTGCACACCGGCTTGATTCGGCTTGATCTCTATCCACATCCGTGCACTGCGCATCCAAGAGCAGTACTGCTGTCAGACTGAAGGTCTCGTCTCAGGCAGGAAATAGTCGGATACCGTCCTTGGCCGGCATGCTGCTGGCTTTTCGTTCTGCCGGCACAGATGGGACAAGTTGTGAACAAGTATAATGTTGACAAGGTCAAAACATGCACGTATGGATCTGGATACCTGGCCACAGAGAATGGTGCGGCTGCGGCCCTGAAATCACGTCATCAGCGTACTGATCTTGGCCGCATCCCGCTACAAACTCCACGAGCCATGATAATAATATAACTAATATAGCCGAATGCTGTGCAACGCTCAGAGACCAAGCTGGGGGTGTCTCTGCTTTTGCATTGATTGATCGATCTTTCTTGGTTGCCTTTTCTAGCACAATGTATCATGTAAATGCTTTGGAAAGACATATGCACACATATATACACACACACGGCAAACGCACACACACACACACCGAGCTATGGCAAACATGTCCATGTAGACACGGCGCAAACATGCACACGCACGGGCCTACATGCATTCATAAATGCAGGTAGTTGTTGTGTACATCGCAAATTGTTCAAACTAGATATTGCTCCACATTCAACCACGTCCCTGCCGATGAACTTCGGTCCTTTGATTTCGCGTGCTGGTCGATGTGCAGTGTCTAACGTTTGCCTACTCAGTCCTCTCTCTTGTCATTGAATGCGTTCATGTATACACCGTCCCAAGTGCTTGCGCACTGTTTCTTTGCTTGTCTGGCTTTGTATCTAGCGGGCTGCACAGATATGGAAGCTATTTCAGCAAGTGAGTATGTCGGAGTTTGCCGTCCGCACAATTGAATGATTGGCTCCTCCTTACTACCTGAATCGCCCCTCTCGCGATGTGTTATAGCCCTGCGGCGGCCAATAGCTCTGTGGGCCGAGATTCAAGATGAAATTTCCCAGGCCGTCGGCAAATGACATAGCGGCATTCGGAGCTATTGCTTGAAGAGGGCGTGCAAAACAAAAGACGCAGTTAAAAGGCTGTTGTTGCTTATGCCATGTTCTGCTGCGTACTGAACGTGGACAACCAAATCCCTTGCGGGCGACACAACTGATCCACAGAGCGGCTTCGAAAAGCTCACTGCCAAGGTGACACTGAGCAACAAGGTCGTGGACGAGAACGTTTCAATCTTCCAGGCCCTGCCTAGTCTTTGCAGACTAGAAAATGCCCCAACAATAGCACCTTCGTTTGAAATCGTCTGGCCTCCCCCACATCTTCCAGCACCTGCGGAGGCAGACATGCGCTTCCGAAGGTAATTCTCTCAGCAGCACCTCCTCTCCGTCGTGCAACATCACGAGCAGCTGCCCGAAGGCTTCCACAAACGGGTGGCGAGAGACGAGGCCTCGGGGTCGCAATTCCAGGCTCCCGGCTGTTTTATGGCAATTCCAGCAGCTTCATGTGGTATCTTTCCGTGCAACCCAGCGGGTGCCCCACAGTATGCCAGGCAGCGGCCACCCTGAGCCAGACTCAGAGGCTGCTGAGTCTCTGCCCCAACTCTGCACGGCGGGCCTCGATGAAGCGAACCGCGGTGCAGTACAGGAAGTCCTCTGAAAAGCAAAGGCACTTTCGTGGGTCACTTTCAGCCTCGCCGGCGAAGAACCGCTCGCAACTTCTGCTTTCTCACACCGTCTCCAATTCCATCGACGGGCGGCCACTACGTCCCTGGTAATCGGACCACTACACAACAGTACCGGATAGCTCGTGCAAGCACCGTCGGTTCCCGAGCGGCGTTCGAAAAACGAGCTACCAGGAAGCTCAGGTCACGAAGTGGGCTTCCAAATTGCAGTGCCGGGCTCGAAAAATCAGCGTCTGGAAAGTCTACGAACCGGAGATGTACGATCACCACTTGCATCAAGCAGACTCAGTAGACAGAAGATAGAAAGGACTCCAGAACTGATGCGAAAGAGCTCGGCACGACGTCACATGAGGTCGTAAATGTCGTAAGAGAGTGATACATACCCCGTCTGCCCACGGCCAGTATATTCTAAACAGTGTAGGGAAGTCAGGTAAGCAAAGACATGTCGCTTGGACAAGCCGCGGTGGGGCAACTCTAGAGGAACCTTAGACTAGACTCAGAAGCCATGGAGGCTTTTAAAAGCAAACACAGACTGTTGGCGGGCTCGAGAACTAAAAGCAGGCCTTCGAGGTAGCCCTAAATTCCCGCCGGGCCCAGTTTCATCACATGCGGCATGAGGCCCCGTCTGAATTGTGTCGGAGTTTCTTCGGCTTTAGGTTCTACACCCTTTTACAAAATCAAAGCCAGAATGCTTCGCTCTTCGGGCTGGTGGGCTCACTTACCTCGCTCGCTTGGAAGTCGTCAACAGATGTGGATGGGGTTCGGTACGCAGCCATCTTGAGCTCCTTGGCCGAGAGAGCCGACTCAAGGCCAAGGCCAGCAGGGCCAAGGCCAGGGCCAACGGGGCCAACGGGGCCAACGGGGCCAAGGGGGCCAGCAGGCAGAGACAAGCCGGGTGGGGGTCCCAGGTTGATCTCACGCTTCGGAGGCATGGCCAGCGTCGGCACAGTCGGAACCGGAACCAGCCCAAGATCCAAGTTCTTCAGCCCGCGAGCGGAAGTGTAGCCGTGCACACGCCCAGACGTGCTGGCCCAGGGACCAATGTTGCCGTAGGGGCTGAAGGGACTGCAAGGGCTGCGAGGGCTCAGTGCCTCTGTCAAGGCACTGCGCGGGCTCAGTGCTGGGCTGAGTGGTGCCGCAGGGCTGAGGTTGCCCGCAACCTTAGCACTTATCAAGCCGAGACTAATATGGATGTCATGCTGCCCCGAAGAGCCCCCCCCTACATGCCCTAGCACACACCATAACATAGTCTTAGCTATCCACCTGGATTTTCATAGGCTCAAGCTCGTCCGCACGCTTCTCAGCCTTGGGGACAGTGCGGAGCTCTGCCTTGCCGTGTGCGAACTTGCAAGCCTCGCCCTTCTTGCACCGGCCCTTGGACGAGTACTGGAAGCACAGGCGTGTGGCGATCAAGTCCGGCTGATTCCTCAACTCCAGCTCTGAGTGCGCGAAGTTGCACTCCTTGCCCAGCTTGCAGCGGTTTGAGCTCCAGTACTTGCAGATCCTGGTGTACTTCAGGGAGTCGCGAACCTGCGGAGTCGTCATTGCGAGGAAGCAGCAATGCGAGGTGAACTGAAGCAAACTCCAATCTCGAGACAAACTGCCCAGCGAGAATGTCGGTGAGCCGTGGAAAACACTCAAAAGAAAAGCTGTGGCAAGCAGAGCGATGCATCAAGCCGGCGGACAGACAGGAGCGTGTCGCAAATGCTTTTCTGCTGGCTCGCAGCTTCCCGTCTTTGCCACCACGATCACTGTACTACGCACTCCTTTCTGTGGAGCTTCGCAGGGGCTAGACGAAGCATACTAAAGCCCTACTAAGTGCAGGGCACATCTTCCGTCTCAGCACAAGGTAGTACCTGATAGTTCCTTGCTGTAGACATTCTCTAATAACTCTAACACGCGCTGCAAGGTGCGGCCTGCACATGAGGCCTACGACAATGCCAGAAACGGAAGAGCCTGTGCAAATCTATATTGGCGCCAGCTGGGCCCTTGGCACATCGATCAAAAGCATAAGCACACTGGCCAGAGCCCATGAAAGGCGCTTGAGCTTGTGTCGATTCCTTAATCGACACGCACGCCATGGAAAAGCAGACCCATGACAAACTAAACAAGGCGGAGACTCAGCTCTCTGTCTT